TCCTTGAGACAATTCTAATCACATGATAAGTTAACCATTGGTATTAACAGACAACAAAGATGTTAACAATGATGTGACATGATAGCAGTTTTTCAATATTGGAGGGGCTGTCGCAGAAAAGAGGAGGTCCAAAGTACCTGAGGGCAGGACAAGAAGAAATGGACATATCAAAGAGAGTTTCAATCTAGAACTAAAGAGAAATTTCCTGACAGTGAGAACAATTAATCAGTAGAATGGCTTGCTAGCAGAAGCTGTAGATGCTCTGTCACTGGAGATTTTAAAGAAGATATTGGACTGCTGTTGTCCGGAATGATATAGTATATCCTGCTTGAGAAAGGGATTGGACTAGAAAACCTCCAAGATTGGAGTAGAAGGCCTCCAAGACCTGGAGGCAAGGTGGCTTCCAACTCTGTTACTCTGTATTCTGTAGAAAATATAAAAATGCATGAACAAACAGAATTTATGAATAAAATGGGTTTTAAGATTGAGAAGATGATAATATACTTGACACTATGACAAATTTGATATTTCAAAATAATTTTGCTAAGACATGGAATGAAGTTATAAAAGATATGTTAAGATGGGAGAAAATTCAATTGTCATTGTTGGGGAGAATTTCTGTGATTAAGATGAATGTTTTACCTAAAATGTTGCTTTTGTTTCAGACAATACCTGTTTTGACAACTGATGTACCATTTAAATAGTGGTAGAAGAATATATCTAAATTTGTGTGGCTGGGTAAAAAAAAACCATCTGAGTTAAATATAAGGTATTACAAGATGCAAAGGAAGGGGGAGAACTGGGCCTACAAGATTTAAAATTATACTTTGCTACCTGTTGTTTAGTTTGGATGAAAGAGTGGGTGCTGCTGAGAAATAGAAGGCTCTTGGAGCTAGAAGGACATGATCTGAGATTTGGGTGGCATCATTGTGTCACATGTTCCATACTGAGAATTTCGACCAGATACAAATGCAGGCTGTGACCAAAACACCTTGATGGCTCTCAAAAGATGAAAAATTTTACAGACAATAAAAGATAAATTAACACAAATGGTTAGCTTGATGTTCCTTTGGCTATTTGGATCTTTCAATCTCCACTTTTCCATTTTGGTTCTGAACCACTTTGGGTGTTGATGTCGCATTGGCTCCAGGACACAAATAGGTCTGCAATCATAGTCTTCTTTTGCATTGGCTCTGCCATGTATTCAAAAAACAGGATAAGAGTGTAGGATGGTCATTGAGTCTCATTCATAGAATGGGGTGAGCGGATGGATTAAGTAGATGAAAGTCCAGTTCTGATTCTGGCTTAAACCCCTTGGTAAACTACGCCAAGGGCCTTAAATAAACTCAGGAGTGGGAATAATTCTCTGATACTGTGAAGTTACTGTAAAGTGATAAGAGAGGTAAGGCCAGGGACTGTGCGGAAATGACCTGAGTTAATGACTCTTCATGAATCCTGAAATGCTACAAATAGCCACCTGAGTCATCAATGTCTTGGCCATGTAACCGAAGAAGAAAATTTACCATGATCCCAACTCTAGATTCTTAAGTCTCTCAAGTTTATTCGCAAGATGTTGTTCATCAAAAAGTTCTTTTAAAAAAAAAATCCTGCTAGCAAGGTACTATTTTTGATTTTGGAAGCTTTTCTTTGTTAATCCCGAGTTTGTTGAAATAAACTGTTCTGTGTGAAATCATCTGTATAAGCTTAAACACTCTGTATATTATTAATTTTTCCTGTTTTAGAGTTAATGCTTCAAATAGGGTCTGTGGTGAAGAGCTGCCAGCCAGGCTCAAGGGTTTTAAATTTACTTCAGATTAATTTATGTGTATTCAGATTAATGCTTTGAAAAATGCATTGTTATTTAAATGTACATTCGACCTTTTGACACCGGTATGCCAAGGCAATTAAAGTACAAAATAAAATATTCAAATAATATTTATAATAGTGTACAGGACAGTTGCATTTTTTATAATCTGGATTATTTAAATTTATGCCAGTGAAAATACTGCCAGTTAAAAATTACATTTGCAAAATACAAAGCTGATATTTTAAACATATTTATTTAATTCAATAATAACACTGCCCAATTCCAAAACAGTTTTGGGTAGTTCACAATACAAAAACAAAGTATAATAAAATAATAAAATACAGTGAGGGAAATAACAATGAAGAATTAACAAAATGGCAGCCCAGTTAAGTCAGAGTTAAGCATAGACAACATATATCAAGCTCTTAATGGGGGATCCATCCTCCCTATCCCAAGATCTGTGAGAACAGAGCTTTAAGGCCTTCCAGAATGCCATCAGGGTGGGAGCTATCTGGATATCTAAGGAAGTAAAGCGCTTTTAACAATGTTGAAAGAACATTAAAATATGGAAATATTCATGCTAGAGAAAGTAAATAGGTAATGAAATAATTAAATTCACAAATACAATTACAGGTAGTCCTTGATTTACAACTCCAATCAATACTAGAATTTTGGTTGTAAGTCATGGCAGTCGTAAGTTGAAGCACCCATGTGACCAGACCCAATTTTATGATCTTTTTATGGTGGTCATTAAGCGAATCATGTGGTTATAAATATGAATCCATTCACCCAAATAAGTATTTTTTTTTCACATAAATTGGCAAAAAGTGCTGGAATTCAGCAAAAAAGTTACAAATCGTAGTTATATTTCTATGGAATGCTGCAACCAGTTGTAAATGTGAGCCAGTCGCCAACTGAAATGCAGTCAAAGAATATTATATATTATTTATTTATTTATTATTTATTGGTTCGATTTATATGCCTCCCTTCTCCGGAGACTCAGGGCGGCTTACAATGTATTAAGCAATAGCCTTCATACTTTTGTATATACCTGCTTAGTCGGGCTTTTGGCCCCCCATAAGCGGTGTTCTTTTTTTATATAAAGTCAGCTTATTGCCCCCACAATCCGGGTCCTCATTTTACCTACCTCGAAAGGATGGAAGGCTGAGTCAACCTTGAGCCTGGTGAGATTTGAACTTGCAGTAATTGCAGGCAGCTGGTGTTAGTTAACAGTACTTTAGTCTGCTGCGCCACCAAGGCTCTTATCTATATTGTTTCCTGTGCTGAAACCATTGGTTGTAATGGAAGGCCTCCTGCTAGGAGGAGTAAAGAGACACTCAGGTTAGAGTCCGATCAGGGGAAAAACATCTGAGATCAGATCTTTAGGTCTATATTTGTCATTTCCCAAAGGGAAGCAGATTGTGTGGTGAGATTCTTGCAGCATAGGTGATCAACAATAAAGTTTCTACTTAGGCCTATCTACAAGTGATTCTGGTTGCTTATGCCTGACATTTCCTGCCCTATTACATCCTTTTTCAATGTAACAATCAGAACTATACATGGTTTGCAATATTGGAAAGTATATTTTCAGTCTGTTTTATAATGACCTCTAACATGAAATGTGCCTTTTCCCCCAAAAGTTGCAATTTTTAAATTTTGCTATCCACTCTGACCCCAAGAGCCATGCCTCGTTGCTGATAGTTCAAACCCAACAAAGTATATATGAAATTATTACAGAATGCCCCAGTGTGTATCACTTTACACTTAAATTGAACTATGTACTGTAGACTTATTTAGTTGACCATTCATTCCGTTTAAAAAAGGTATTTCTGGAGGATGGAAAAAGTAAAATATGAATACACACATATGTGCCGCTAACTTCTTTCAGATTTCATTGAAAGTATTTTTGCAACCTCAGGAAGGCTTTCCAGATGGTTTAAATCAATATGTAGATCTCCTACCTCCCTTTGATTCCTTCTCTTTCTTTTGCTCTCAGTCTCTGGGAACCCAAAAGGTAAATGTTTCACGCATTGGCAACTCTACTGCTTTGGGAGTTAAAAAACGTTTATATTTCCATCTCTTTCCCAAAGCCAACTAAGCACTTCCTGAGATCAGAGGTAGGACAGTGGGTGAGGTGCATGTATATTTCTCGTATGATCTCAGGCCAAGGTTTTGGCCACTGTCCCAGGAGATCAGCAAAGGGCAGCTGAATAGAAAGCATGATTAAAAACCATGGAAGTTGAGAAGGGAAGAGAATATCCAAATCTGTTCGGTGTTGATACATCCCACATCTGCTGTCCCACAGTTTCTCTTTAAAAAGGAAAAAAAAAGAAAAAGAAAAAGAAAAGTGACCTTTATTCAGATCACTTTCTTTTTCTCGGAGTCATTGGGGTATTCTAAATTTCTGGGGTTTTAATTGAGCCAAATTTATTTAATCATTTTAAATTTTAATTGCTGTTTTGTCTTGTGTTTTTAAATAGGCTGTACACCACCCTGAGTCCTTCGGGAGAAGGGCAGTATAGAAATAAAATTATTATTATTATTATTATTATTATTATTATTATTATTATTATTATTATTATTATTATTATTATTTATTTTATTTAAGACAAACAATTAATTTGGCAAGAAATTCATAAAGCAGCTTAATTAATAATTGCTAACTCAAAGTCAGTAACATTTTCTAAGCAAGGTCTAAGCTTTTCTGTGTTTTCCTAGGTCCAATCTTAATTCAGCCTACCTGCTGAAAGGACACAGTGCCTTTTCTTTGGATTGAGTCAGTCCAATTTACCCATCTTTCAGCTGGCAGCAAATTATACTACCATGAAATTCTCTGTCCCCACTGCCAATCCCTACCCTGCTTCTATTTCTGCTCTGACCTATTGCTGAGTAGTGCTGTCCTGATTTTTGTGTGTGTAGAGTGGGTGATAAACTAAGGGATTGGTTGCTTCTTCTGGTTATGCTGTTCAACCTTTGCGCCAGCAGGACAAACATCTAACCATTTGTGGGCTGAAGCAGGAATTGGAGGGGGGGGAGGGTAACAAATGTGCAGCTGTTCATAATGTTTGTGTCCCTTCCCTGTACTCTGCACATAGCCTGATGAATACAATTAAACTAAAAGCTCAAAGTCAGAAAGCAGCATTTTACTCAAGGTTTTCTTTCTTCCATCCTTCTTTTCTTTAGGTATAAGTGTTGATTGCCAGATTCCTCTTTGCTGTTTGGGAATCCATTTGAGGTTTGCTTCCATAATCTCATTGCTTTATTATTTCAGTCTTGCATTGATCAGGTAAGGGTCACAGAGATAAGATACTTACAATATTAATTACATGGCAGTCTAGCATTTATTGCACAATGTTGTCTCCAGTTCTTTAAGGAGACCCCATTTCTACAGATAAAATTCACTGGAGACAAAATGGGAGAGGTTTGCTTATATTCGCCTGAAATGGCCAATAAGTAGTACTTTAATTTCTCACTTTATTGGTCATATGGCTTGGTAGTGGGTTACAAAGTGTAATAGAGTTGACATATTTGATGACTGCACTTGGACATTATTGGCTTAAGGGGGGAAATGTGACTTTAATTCTAGTCTATCTAAGACCAACCTAAGTTTGCCTTATTCTTGACTAGGGATTAAATGAAAGAAATCTTATATAGGTAGTCCCTGACTTACAACAGTTTATTTAGTGACCATTAGAAATTTCAACAGCACTAAAAAAAAGTGGCCTATGATAATTTTTCACACTTATGATAGTTGTAGCATCCCCATGGTCACATGATCAAAATTTGGATGCTTGGTAACTGGCTCATATTTGTGATGATTGCAGAGTCCCCGGGTCATGTGATCACCTTTTGTGACCTTCTGACGAGCAAAGTCAACGGGTAAGCTTAACAACTGATTCACTTAACAACTGTGGCAAGAAAGGTCATAAAATGGGGAAAAATCACTTAACAATTTTCTCACTTAACAGCAGAAATTTAGGGCTCAATTATGGTGATAAGTTGAGGACTTCCTGTAAGGAAATGGCAAAACAGACTTCTGTGGAAGAAATTGCAAACTGAAGAAAACTTTGCTAAAAGAGGAGTTGATGACTATGATGGAATGAAGAGCCAGTGAGTACATGGGCTCTTCACGATTTCTCTCCAAACAAGGAAGTGGTTGAGATTACCCACAAATGCTCCATACAGTTGCTTCTCACAGGGAGACTGCAAGACAAGGCTTGGGAAACAAAGGAATAAACATCTTGCTGAAACCATGGTTGGCATCTTCAAAAGGATACTTCACATACTTCCTTTTCTAATCACTTTTGGAAATTGCTTGTTAATTGTTTTTTCAGCTATTAGGAACATTTGGATCGATACATTTTATAGCACTGGGTGAGATCAGGACAGAATGACAAGTCTTTAAGGATTTCTTTATACATAAGAGATGGGAAGAAGTGATCATTTGTTCTATTGTAAGAAAAAGTAATAGGTTACTAAAGTTGTTTATACTTGTGATGAAGGGGGAAATCATTTTTCTTTTCTTTATTTTTTTTATTTTTCTTTGCTATATTCTTATTTCTTCTATTTTTCTTTCTACCTTTTTCTCTTCTGCACTTTTGATTTTTTTCTTTCAATTTTTAGTTTCTACTAGTTTTTATCTTTTTAATAGTGTCTGATATAGATAGATGATAGATAGATAGATAGATAGATAGATAGATAGATAGATAGATAGGAATGGCAGACAGAAGATACTGTCAAGTCATGTTAATGTTGTGATTAGATGAATTTGGGGAAAGGTCCTCAATTCCTTTTTAACAAATCTCTCTTCAAAAGGTAACATAGTCCCTCTGAGTAGACAGAACAACACTGAAGTTGTTTTTGAAAATTATGTAAAAGGAAACCAAATGTCTATGAAGTTATATTTGTCTGATCTTTTAGAAGCATCCGCTTGTGGTTAATTTTTCCATGACTGCAAGTTTCCATGCTCTGAACATCCATGTGCGAATAGATAATCCCTTAGAGTCCTTCCAATATAGTGTAATTTCCAAGTGAGCTGCAGCCAACAACAATTTTACTAAGACTTTGGTAATATGTTTGCACAGCTACTCATAAACAGAAGGGGGGGGGGGGTAATAAGGCATCACACACAGTAATCGTCTGTTTTGCCAGTTCAGTTCCCAAAATCTTTTACTGAAGAATCCATAGAAAGCCATCACTTTCTATCAGCTACACTGCAGTTCTCCAGCTGCTATTGGGCATTGCTTTTCTTACTATACAAAATATTAAAAATAAAATACATTTCAGGTTTTCATATTACAAGTGTAAAATAGAAAGATCTGAATAGATTTGCATCCCAATAATTTTCTCTTTTATTTTTCTTTCATTCAATCAAATATTGTAAAGCACTTTTCTCCAAATTGATACCTTTGAGACTGGTTGTGCTACCATCATATCAGGCATCATGACCATGGCTTACAATGAAAGGAAATCCCCTGCCCCCTGTGGGTAGTGGAAATTCTCTTTCCTCCACTTCATGCCAAAAAAGGAAATTTTTAAAAAATGCTACCCACTCCGCACCAACCGATATGGAGTGATGTGAAGGATGATGCTTTGTAAACAAACAAACTACATATAAACCCCAAGTACACATAAAAACATCAAAACCATCTTGACGTATTATTTTGCTTTATTAAAAAGTCTCTGAAGTTGTAACAAGAAGGAAAGATTAGGGTTTTTAGCTGGAAATTTCCCCAATTCCTCTAACCATGATTACAGGCAGCTGGAATGAAGCGGGGGTGGGGGAAGAGATAAATGCTCCCTTCAGGCTCCAGGAATGGAATGCTGAGCCTATGAAGGGCAGGGGGAAGCAAGAGAGTTATGCATCACTTGATCCCAGGAGCCAATGGTCAAGGTAAAGCAAGAGGGGGAAAATTGTTCTGCTTTCATTCAAACTTACAAAGCCAGTAAAAAGCTCATTCAGCTTTTTTGTACAAATGGCTGTTGTACAATCAGATAAACTAGCAAACTGGATCTAAGCCGTTGTTTGTGGTGCCCCTGTTTCCATAAGTTAGTTTCTGTTCTTCTGGTATCTAAGATGGAAACTTGGGCATAAAAGAACTAAGGAAAGTTAAGCTTCTCCAGGCTCAAACAGAATCTAACCCTAACCCTAACCCTAACCTGTGGTCATGTAGTCAAAATTCAGATGCTTGGCAACTGATTCATATTTATGATGGTTGTAAAGTCCTGGGGTCATGTGATCACCTTTTGCAACTTTCTGACAAGCAAAGTCAATCAGGAAGCCAGATTCACTTAACAATCATATTACTAACTTAACAACTGCAGTGATTCACTTAACAATGTGTCAAGAAAGGTCGTATAATGAGGCAAATTTCACTTAACAACTTTCTCAGTTAGCAATAAAAATTCTATTGTAGTCTATTGTAATTGTAGTCATAAACCAAGGACTACCTGTAATGCCCTAGAGGATAAACAACTATTATGAAAGATTAAAGGGGGAAAAAAAGGGGGGGGGTTGAAATTATTACCTGTCTAGCATGCAGAATGTTTGGCCAGATGAAGTTGCCAAATAAATAATGTTGTTTAACAAAAGGAACCAAAAGTATTCAACTGACATATGGAACTACTTAAAAGACAATCTTGCCCATAAAATAGATGCGTCAGGTCTATTTTGAGTAAGAGAGTAAGCAATGAAATAATTTGCTGCAATAATTTGCTTTCAAAGGACCAAACATTTCATCCCTCTCCTTCTGGGAACCTCTTGATAACCCAGCCCCAATCCTGCAAACCTAAATACTTTTTTAAAAATTTGATACCTTATGCTCCAAAAATAGTCTTCATTCCAAATTTCTATCATATATGAAGCTGGATCCCTGACTTCTTTCTCTTCAAATAAATCAAGAGCACAAGCCAACTTTGGACTTAAAAGTTATAGAAACGGAAGAAGAGATATGATGCGAAAATTGTGCCTTTGAATAAGAAAAAAACATCCATGTGCATGAGAGAAGGGAACATTTTGAGTGCAGTGTATATAACATTTTCAAGATTCTTCCACCTTGCAATAGTACTTGTCAGCTTCTATGTACAGTTATACATCAGTGGTGGGTTTCAAAATTTTTTATTACCGGTTCTGTGGGTGTGCCTTGGTGGGCGTGGCAAGGGAAGGATACTGTAAAATCTCCATTCCCACTCCACTCCAGGGGAAGGTTACTGTAAAATCCCCATTTCCTCCTAATCAGCTGGGACTTGGGAGGCAGAGAATAGATGGGGGTAGGGCCAGTCAGAATTTTTACTATCAGTTCCCTGAACTTCTCAAAATTTCTGCTACCAATTCTCCAGAACTGGTCAGAACCTGCTGAAACCCATCTCTGTAATACATGTATATTAATACACACACACACAGACACGTACATTTGCTTTCCCTTTAAATAACTCCTGATAATTGCTTCACATGTACTAGCAGAAGATAACTCTCCTTAACTTTTTGAAGGGCATTCATATTTGAGGAGTATTTGCATATGTATAACACTGAGTAAACACAATTAAGGTTTCTGGTTGGTATAAAACCTGAAAAGAGAACTGGATGTTTTGTTTTTAGTCATGGTGAAGATAATTTCAACTGAGAAGATGATTACTTCCCCCGGAGCATCCCCCGGAGATACGGAGGATCCCAGATCTGCGCACTTTCCACCGTGCTCTTAAGACCCTCCTATTCCAGCAAGCTGGCCTGGCCTAATTTTCTCCCCTTTCTTTTAAATTTTTAAATTGAAATTTTAATTTGTTTTAAATTATTGGGCTTTTTAATTGTCTCGGGCTAAATTATTTAACTTGGTTTTAATTATGTTTCTAACTTTTGTATCTATGTATTTTATTCTGTGCCTGTTCACCGCCCTGAGTCCTTCGGGAGTAGGGCGGTATACAAATTTAATAAAACATAAAACATAAACATTACAAATACTCTACAAACAACCAAACAAATAAAAGAATGTATCAAGTTGACCCAAGTCACGACTATGAGTTGTGTTATTTTTGGAGTGGGGTGGGGTGCTAAACAATAGTCTAAACTAGAAATACTAAAAAATAACTGCAGAACTCCAATGTATTGAATGTAATTGGATCTTCATAACTACAGAAGAGCATAGATTTCCCTAATGATCTCTAGAAGGAGAACGTACAAGTCGAAAGGGATTACTCACAAGTAAAAGGAAGAGAAAAACAAGACTGCCCAAACAGCAAGAACATACTGCAGGTTTATATTGTTAGTTTACATGGCTTATCAAGAAAAGGGAAGCCATTTGTCTCTGACAGGAAACCCAGCAACTTGGTTTTGCTGCCAGTCTCCATTGTGATCCTCAAGAACTGTTCTCATTTATTGTAGGTTTTGGTTATTTCCTTTTATGAGCCTGTAAGCATATGAGACTGAACAATTATTGCAAATTGGGAGGAAGAGGTGAAAGAGCCTCAATTCAAGACTTACATATAAGGAAAAACAGAATTTGGGAAAGGCTGCTTATTAAGCATCATAAATTACATGCTAGGACTCTAGAAAGTATCAAAGGTTATCCTCCGAACTTGTTTTAATAGGAGACATTAGAAATGTCCACAGGGTCACATTTCTTTCACTGTACAGTATGCATGCAAGTACAGTACACAACCAAGATGAGACATACATGTTTTGTGACATTTCTAATTGTTTGTAAAAAAAAAAAAAAGCAATAAGCATAAAGTGAAGGAAAGTTATAGTTCTAATGGAGTTAACCTTTTCTTCTGTATCATTTTCTTTCATAGAATTGTTTATTCTACCCGCTGGGACCTTACTCCCTTTATATACACATTGATTTTTATCATTTCTATTCCCCATCCCCATTCTGGCTCAGATATCTGAGGAAGACAGTCTGGAAAAGAGGATTTGCAAAGCAGGTTGGTGCTCCTTATCAATTTCTCCATTTTTGTGTCTTTGCATTACCTTTTCAAATAGGGATATTAGAACTGTCTTTCAGCTTCCCTGTTTAAAAACTAAAATTAATAGATAAATTGTTTTAGCTGAGCATTTCATTTTGAAGTGAGCTTCACTTCGGAAAAGTAGTGAAAAAAGGTAATGAAGAATGATGGGGCAGCTGCCTGTACTATGTGTATGATCTGGAGTCTATTTTTGGTAGGATATTAATTAATTTTAATGTGGTATGTGGTCTTTCTTTCTTTCTTTCTTTAAAATTTGACTCTGTGGTTTTCTAAAGTGATCAATTAATAGACTTTGATTTTCAGAGAGTATTTTAACTGCACCTGAACCCATAACATATTTTAATCAGATATTAAAAATAATTTACAGTTTCACTCATAAAGATTTTCCTTAAATTATAAGAATAAAAATATTCAATTTTTTGAGCTTTGTTGCAATTTTCTTAGCTAAATACCAGAGAAAAGATATTAACATTCTGATTTTTCATATGCTTTCTATTGTGTTGCCTTTTCTAGAAAGACAGAAAAGACAAATGCCAATTTTAATACTGCAGCATTATTAATTCCCTTTCTATTTGTAGGGCATGTCAAATTTTTCAACTTTCAATTTCCAAACATTAGGGATTGCTCAAAAGTTGTGACATGCCTTTGGATACTTTGGTTACTTTAATATAATTTAAATATGCTTTATAAGTAACTACATAAATATCATAACTTTTTAACTTTTTTTTTGTTTCATTAGTATTACATCATCTTTTCAGTTATATATGAAAACATATTTCTGGCCCTTAGACTGAAGTAGCTTCCAAGAACACACAGTACAGCTATCCCTGGTCTTGAATAATAAAATGACTCTATACCAATACATACAATAAATCCAGGTGAATTCAAGATAAGCCTTTCTGTACATTTTTTTTTAATGGCAACTTTGCAAAATCTATTTAAGTATGTTAAAAACATCTGGATCACTTCAAAGAGAACCTGACTGGAATATTTGTCTAGAGTTTTAAGAGAAGAATATTTATGATTGTTCTAGTGAAATGGCCCAGAACAGGGTGAAAGGTTTGAAGTTTCAGACTTCTCTCCGGAGTCTTCTAAGTCTTCACATCCTGGGCCTGTCTCCTATTTTGGCATAGTAGCTTGGAAGTTCTACTGTTATCACTTATCATCCAAGGAATTCCCTCTGGATGTCCTCTCCTAACCCAGTTTGGAGGCTGTTACTATCTATGCTACATTTCTAGTGATTAATAGAGAAAAGCACACTAAAAATAAAAACAACCCCTTGGCCATGTAGCATGGAGGCATGTGGCTAAAGGTTTTAATTATTTCTCTCTTTTCGGGATAAAGGCCCAAAGTAAATATTGTTTGAAAAACAACAACTAACATATAAAAACTGAGGAGCCTGAGTGGCGTAGGAGGCTAATGCCTCCTAAGGCAGCATTTAACATCCAGCTGCCTGCAATTACTGCGAGTTCAATTCTCACCAGGCTCAAGGTCGACTCAGCCTTCCATCCTTTCTAAGGTGGGTAAATTGAGGACCCAGTTTGTGGGGGCAATAAGCTGACTTTGTATAAATATACAAAAGTATGAAGGCTATTGCTTAACGCATTGTAAGCCGCCCTGAGTCTCCGGAGAAGGGTGGCATATAAATCAATTTAAAAAACAAAACAAAACTATTTAACTTTCAGTGTTCAAAATTCAAACATTCAGGAGAAAAATAATTGATTAAAAAAGAAAATATAAAGTGAATGCAATGCTCCAGGCAAATCACAAGATGGTTCTGATCCGCTACAGATAATTTTCCTGCCAGAAACCTCCATAAGCAGATGCCATAGAAGTTTTCAAAGTCATTACAAGATATTTTAATGTAATTATTCTTTTGCATGTGACTGAGAGCACTTCTCTTTTATTAAGATGTGGATTGAGCATGTCTGATTTGCAGCCTGCATATTCACAACATTTATATATTTTCATGCACACATTTAGCTAGTCACAAAACTGGACAAGCATATCCCTAATATGAAGATATCCATTAGGAAATGTCAACGTTACATAAAAGTTCATACAAGGTAAAGGCATAAAAATGATTGAAAAGTTGCATGAATAAACTGCATTTTTCTTGGTTCAATTATTCCTCAAGTACAACATTAAAAGATATGCCCTTACTAATATTTAAGGAGGGCTGGAAGAAATCAATGAAGCATTTCAAGGAGGATCAAGTTTGTATCTTAGTGAACTGTTTTTCTTTTTAATTTCTGAACTCTTGCTTTTTCTCTTGAAAGCTCTGTCAAAAGTCCCGCTCCGCAGCCAATATTGTGTCTCCACCCCACAACTCTTAGAAACACCTTAAAGCAGGGGTGCTATTCAGCAGGTTCTGACAGGTTATGGAGAACCAGTAGCGGAAATTTTGAGTAGTTTGGAGAACTGGCAAATATCACCTCTGGCTGGCCCCAGAGTGGGGTGGGAATGGAGTTTTTGCAATATCCTTCCCCCAAGAGTGGGGAGGGAATGGGGATTTTGCAGTATCCTTCCCCTGGAGTGGGGTGGGAATTGAGATTTTGCAGTAACCTTCCCCTGCCACGCCCACCAAGCCACACCCACAGAACTGGTAGTAAAAAAAATTGAATTCCACCACTGCTTTAAAGCCATTCTTGAACTCTTAAGAATACCATCTTAGCTCATCTACATGAAGAAACAATGGCATCTTCCACATGAGCAGAAGCATGAATTTCACTATAAGGGACAGCTGACAAAATGCCAAGGCATTCTCTCCTTATTTAAGGGTACCTCCCATTGTGAAAATGAAAACATACAGTAAGCTATCTTTACAAGGAGGGGGAAAACCTGGAAGATGAGATGAGGAGGAAGTTCTCCCAACAGAGTTTCGTTTAAGACAGTATTCAGCAGCCACTAAGAACAGAGAATTGCAAGCTGAAACAGATAAATAATGACTTTTGATCCTGTAACAACCTCAAGTACAGTACTGTATAAAGAAGCAATCTTCAACAAACTTAGTTCCAAGCTATTTAGGATTTTGTAACCAACAACTAGCACATTGTGTCCCCAAGTTATTAAAAGTTAGCGAAAATAAATGATTGTTTTTCAAACATTAGAAACTTCTTAGCTGAGATTGTGTACCACAGTCCCACATAGATTACACTGCAGCAAAGGACCAAAGTTGGGTTTAGATACTCTCCCAAATTATAAATTACAGTAGCATTTTCAAGGAAGATGAAAATGTGTACCTCTACCCCTGACTGAGTGTCCTACTGATCAAAGTATTGTTGTTTTCTGAATGATGAAAGGCTACCTTAATGAAAGGCTACCTTTCATTAGCCTACACTTAAATTTCCAATAAACAGTACTTCCGATTTAGCATATCCCATCAACAATTCTGAAATTTCTAACTTCAGACTATATACCCAGAATTCAAATAATATGGTCATTCTTTTGGATCTGATTCTACAAAATGGATTTAATTAGCTATAATGTTTCATTCATTATGTGCTTGATGCTCTCATAGATTTTCTCCAAGAAATAAAGCTTCAAGGAAGGGTTAATATTATTTCTGGCTCTATCATTTTTGCAGGTATTCATCTATAGAGCTAGTCTGCCAAATTTTGATTTTAAAAATTCCTACCTGAAAATTTACACTTGTGTAAGTTTGAAATCGAAACGAGTATTTTAATGGCATCTCTTAAAATATGTATTTCTGACTCATCTAACTCTAAATACTTTTTTAAAAAAATTACTGTAAGGATTTATTTGTTTTTAATCAAAATCTCCATTGAAACATTCAGAAAATAGAAAAATTAAGTTCTTACACAAATACTTTATACTGGGAATTCACAGAAACTCCATTATATTTTAATACAAACCTTTTATCTATGAAGAAAATGGCTGGATAAGATTTCTACCTGAGATTCTGAAGAGGTGGGTGCTGTCTGTCAGAATGAAACAGGCAACCTAGTATCTTCTATATATTCTCCAGTACAATATCCATATGCCCAAATCCGTATGGGCAAAACCAAAAATTATAGCAACTTTAATCCACATTGCATCAGATTGCCTCTTCCTGGTACTGGCAATACCAGCTATCTATATTATATGCTCTCGACTATAAAACTGTAATTTATAAACCCTGACTCAGAAAAAGGGTGCTGCATATGTTCTAGATTTATCTCTGTATACAGACAGTGGTTATCTAGCCTAATTATTGGTACCTGGAAGCTTGGAGGATCTGCTTTACCTAACAGAGAAACAGTTGGTGCCACACAGTAGTAGATTCAGAATATAGCTAAAGAATATAGTGGTGAGAGTTAGGAATATTAAATAATATATTTCAATTAAACCAAACTCATGGTATGATATAAAAAGCCATGAGAGGGCCTGTTTGCATGCAAGGAAGCTTCAGTTCTCATTCAGAAGGCAGTGGAAAGCACCAACAAAGAAACTAAACCACAGCATTTTCTCACAGCAAATTAAAGTGGTGTAATCTTTACTGACTAAACTGTCTGTTCAAAGAGTAGGACTTCACATCTGTCATGGTCCCTGCTCCCCACCACAACACATCCTTATTTTCTCATTTTACTGAATTACAATTAATGCCTCACAACAGCTGTTGTGTGTTTAAAATTAACGGGAAGCTAGTACCCATTACCTCACTGGATATATTCTGGGAAGTACTATGTGTGCGCATGTGCCCATGAATCATGTGAGCACAATTCAACCAGCTGTTATCTTGTTAGTGTCTATAGTTGAAGGTTTGTCCAGGATAGTTTTCCATATCCTGACTGGGTATTGCTATAAAATCATGCTGTTTCAAATTCAGTTTTTGCTAGATATAAAATAATGTATTTATACATGAATTGTGTCTTCATGACTATAAGATTTCATTCCTAGCTAAAATATTGATAGCATAACAACAGTGGTGGGTTTCAAAAATTTTTACTACTGGTTCTGTGGGTGTGGCATGGCTTGGTGGGCATGGCTTGGTGGGCGTGGCAGGGGAAGGATACTGTAAAATCTCCATTCTCTCCCCACTCCAAGGGAAGGTTACTGCAAAATCCCCATTTCCTCCTGATCAGCTGGGACTTGGGAGGCAGAGAATAGATGGGGGTGGGGCCAGTCAGAGGTGGTATTTACCGGTTCTCCGAACTACTCAAAATTTCCGCTACTGGTTCTCCAGAACTGGTCATAACCTGCTGAAACCCACCTCTGCATAACAATATTGTCTTCTTACAGAGAGCCTTCTTTTCTGTCTCTATTTTTTTTCTGTATTTATGCATCATACTTTTACATTACTCAATAATACAGTAAGAATTCCCTGGAAACTATAATAGACCTTCCCAATCATTGTAGAATAAAAGCAAAGCAATCAAGTCATTGATTTTCTGGCTGGCTACCATCTTTTGCTGTCTTTTTTCTCACCCTGGAATTGAACTGAAACTTCTCAGAGGTCACTTTTTCACCTGAGAAAAATTATTTATTTTAATTGTTTACATCTCCATCAAAATAACATAATTTTGCATTACTTACTTTGAATGTTCTCTCCCTTATGTATGTGTACTGATGTGTGACTGGTCGTCTATGTTAGTGGCATGTGCCATTTTCTCCCATAATGCTACGAAGGATGCAATATAGTTTTAGAAGCATATCTGATATACAGTAGTTGAGTTGAGCCCTATCCTGTACTGGACTACTGGACCTTAGCATGCCAATGATGGGGAATGGCTTAGGAAGCAAGACAAAGAAACAGGTAAGCGGGCCCAGTGACATTTCCGTTAGTGCCAGGAATCATGGTCATGATATTTTACAAGATATTTTAATTAAAGCATAAGTAACTGGAACACTAGCAAGATGTAAAGCAAAAGCCAGATTCAAACATAAACTTTACAAAGCTATTTACAAAGAACTACAGAGAATCCAATCCATAAGCATTGTTATGGAATAAAATGGCGCAGCTTTATTCTGAAGCATGCGCCTTTTCTTAGGTCAGAAAATAGAAATTCTTTTAAGTAGAGATTGCATAGGGCACCTTAGGGGGTAAGCAAAAGTGAGCACTAAGAGGCATTTTTTTTTCTGTTTGCCTTCTGGAAAACGTGTTTTATAAATGACTACACCAACAGCAGCAGCCATTTTCTGAGAAGGTTATAACACATTCTCACCATTCCATGTGTGGCACTTGCTCAAAAAAATGTGGACCCCTGATATGTGATATATTTCTAAATTCTACAGCTGCATCTAATATGTGTTAATGCAGAAGTCCTTTTCTTGTTTCCAGATCTTACACAATGTAAGAGTTGTGCAAGATCTGGAAGTCTACCTATCTAAGGATCCCACAATGCATCTTTACAACTAGACTTGTCACATACAACCTTTTCTTCTTTCTCCCTTTACTTTCCTCTCTGCCTGTACCCTGGTTGGTTTGACTGCATGAGGAGAAAAAGCTTCCTACCAGCTAAGCAGCTGGCTGCTGCTTGCCAATTGAGACGCTAAATGCTGGGGATAAAGAGCTTCTGGAAAGATAATAAAGCAAAGGGGAGTAAATTAAAGTATCTATAAATAGCACTAGGAGTAAGGAGAAAGGATGATGTCATTGACATTTACATAAGCTGGTATTTCTATCCATTCTTCCACACAGACTTTTCCCCCCTCCCACTGCCTCACTTTGGAAATTATTCAGACTAGCACTGGCCTTTCCTTCAGAGAAAGCCACACTGAGCCTATAGGCAGGCTCATGAGCCTCTTATATCAAATTCATGAAACCTGACAAACAGGTTGCAAATATGAGCTGAGCATTTACACGTAGGGTTCAACAAGTGGTGAGGCAGACATGTGACAGTGGCAGTAGAAGAGAATATATGTGGCTCAGGGTTGAACTGTAGAGTCCTTGGTATTCTCTGAGTTTAGATGTTTCTTTACCAAACTAGGTAATACTGTTTATGCTAGAAGGGAGTGGGATTTCTTCTCTGTTTATATATAGTTGCTTGCCCTGTCGGTGTTGGAGGAGGTATTGTTGTCTCCTTGGTAATTTCTTCATTAGGCTGTTATTTATTGTTTGATTGTCTGAACTGGTAGTGTCTTGATTACAGGATTTTTTTTACTGCTTGATTGTTTGGTGTTAATCCTAGTGTTAATCCCTATTTATGTGAGTGTTGATTGCTGGTGAGTAGCTGTTCTGGACTTTTTGTTAAGTAAATCAAAAGATTCAGTAGTCCAGGACAGTGGTGGGATTCAAGTAATTTAACAACCGGTTATCTGCCCTAATGATTTCTTCCAACAACCAGTTTGCCAAACTACTCAGAAAGTTAACAACCGGTTCTCTCGAAGTGGTGCGAACTGGCTGAATCCCACCACTGGTTCAGGAGTCATCTACAATATAGAGTGTAATTACTATAATAGCCACTATGTAGGACAGGAAAGCACAAGACTAGCAGAGGACTAACACCGGCAATAAAAGACATGATGAAAAGGCCTTAATTTCACAACACTTGGATAGATTTATCCATAGTTTCAACTGGAAAACTGACCATCCTAGACCAAGATGCCTAACAGGTGCCCTAGACCTTTCCTAACAGGTGCCCTTCCTTAGAAGTGCAAGTCAACCTTTTGGGAGAGCTGCTAGGTATAGACTGTGAAGAGGCATCATTTTATACTTTAATTCTCTTTCATTATTATTGAATCCAAAGTAATTGCACAATGCTGTCACATTCAATTTGATAGAGTGTCATTTGAATACATGAATGAGCTAAAATGCTTTAAAATGTTACAAAACACTGTTTCTTACTAATGCTTCCAAAAACCATAGAAAACTGCCCTATGGCAGGCCAGAGCATTAGTCCAGTACTATCTGCAGTGCCTATTAGCAGAGCTCAGGGAAAGGTCTTCCCCTGTTCTTTTCTACTGATTCAGCTGATTGCATATGAAATCCACTTCACATAAGGTATGTGTTTCATTACTCAAGCATGGTGTCTATCTTCTTTTACACTTCTCATTTTCATCCATTCCTTTAACCCTCTTGTGGAATGATTCATTGTGGGTGTAATTCCATAAAGGTAAAGATAAAGGTTCCCCTCGCACATACATGCTAGTTGTTCCTGACTCTAGGGGGTGGTGCTTATCTCCGTTTCAAAGCCGAAGAGCCAGCACTGTCCGAAGACATCTCCGTGGTCATGTGGCTGGCATGACTAAACGCCAAAGGTGCATGGAACGCTATTACCTTCCCACCAAAGGTGGTCCCTATTTTTCTACTTGCATTTTTTATGTGCTTTCAAACCGCTAGGTTGGCAGAAGCTGGGACAAGTAACAAGAGCTCACCCTGTTACGCGGCACTAGGGATTTGAACCGCTGAACTGCCGACCTTTCGATCGACAAGCTCAGCATCTTAGCCATTGAGCCACTGCGTCCCTTTTTGTAATTCCATAGCAAGGATTATAGAGAAGAATAGGGATATGCTCAAAGCCACAAACTTGAGTTCAAGGTTGCAATGTTCTCCTGGTTATATCTATCCTTGGGAACGCATATGGATAGAAGCAGGAAAGAAGTCAGCATTAACTAACCCAGAACAATGCCCCCTTTTCTGCCCTTCGAAAGAGAATGCAAATATCTGAGCAAGAAGCCTATTTTACTCCTGTGTCAAAGCAAGGTCGTGTTTTCCTTTCCCCTAGCATCAACGACTGACTCCTATTTATATGGTATTTGCACAGTGGTTCTGTGTTATTGTAAGGTATTCATAGTTTTTTTTTAACATCAGTATAATTAAAAGACACGATTTAATATGGAATAGGGATGGGTGTACATGTGGGGAATAGGGCAGGATATGGTAAAGTGGTTACAGCAACCAGTTTTCATACAAATATTAATGCCACAAGTTTAATATAGAAACTCTGTGACCTTATGTGGTCTCTAAAGATCTTTGCAAATATTGAGTGAAGTCTTCTACCACACAGATGTAACAGAATAAGAATAGGCTGAACACACAAAAAGTTAAAGAGACAAGATAAAGTTATAATGTGAGTTAGTGGTAAACTGACTCACCCGATCCATAAATCTAGAGGGATTCTGTCTCCTTCCGGCTTGAGAACTGGAATGGGGGACATGGGATAATATCATATTGATTTATTATTTACTGATATTTATTGATTAGATTACTATCATCCTAGTTCCTACATGTTATGTATAAAACACATCAGTGAATCTATATCAGGGAGGTCAAACTCGCAGCGTCACGTTGTCACGCTGCGAGAGAATAATCAGTCTGAAGTCACCAAATGAGCTTCTCTGCTTGAAGATAAACTAGAACCTGAGTCTCATTGGTGCTACTTCAACACATTAAACACTAAACTGGCTCTGGAGACCAACATATACTCAGTCATTACAGAATGCTGAGTAGAAATGGGAGGGACTAGGGCAGTGATGGCTAACATTTTTGCCATTGCATACCAAAAGGGGGGGGGAAGCGTGGGGGTGGTCGCGTGCGTGTGTGTGGCCACACTCATAATTCAATGCCCCCACGCCCTGCCCCCGCGTATGCATGCATGACCCCGCCCACGCTCTCACACACATGTGAGCCCCATTTTGGGCCTAGCAGGCCTCACTGAAGCCTCTGGAGGCCGGAAACGTCCCATTTCCCGACTTCCAGTGGGCCCGGTAGGCCCATTTTTTGCCCTCCGCAGGCTCCAGAGTCTTTCTTGGAGCCTGGGGAGGGTGAAAATGGCCTCCTCCACCCCCCAGAGGCCCTCCAGAGTCCGAAAATGCCCTTCCAGAGCCTCTGTGCAAGCCCTGTATTTACCTGGCATCCAAACGGGCTGCGTGGAGACTCCTTGGAGGGGAGGGGCAGCCAAAAATCAGCTGGCTGGTGCAGCATGTGCGCTGGAGCTGAACTAGGGCAATGGCTCGCGTGCCCGCAGATATGGCTCTGCGTGCCACCTGTGGCACGCATGCCACAGGTTCGCCATCACAGGACTAGGGACTGTCCTTCCAGAAATCTGATTGTGTGGCTGAATGGAATTTTGAAAAGGGTGGAATTTTGGACAGGAACTTTTTATTGGAAATTCCATTTGTAAATAAATTGTTTCAACTCTAGTTTAATTATCTTGAATGATTATAATAAATAAGACTGAAGGGATACTTTCTGCTGAAGCAAATAATCCTAGAGTTTCTGCTCCAAGAACTATCTATTCCTGTGAGTGGAGACTGAAGAAATTTGGGTTCCTGAAGTTCCTTTCATGCCCCCGCTTTACCCCTCCAAAGGAAAAGGGTTCTTAAAGCTGATTTAACAGAACTTTATTAAATAGTAGGCTATAGCCCACTTTATGAAATGCCTTACTAAAGTTCAAGTAAATTATATCCAAAGCATTTTGCTGGTCTGCTGATTTTTTCATATTATCAAATAATGCAGAAAGATTTGTTTGGCATAATCTGTTTTGACAAATCCATGTTGGTTTCTGGTTATAGCTTTACTTGCATGTAGGTATTTGCAGATTCATTGTTTGATTATTTTTCCAGGATCTTCACAGATACTGATGTCAAGCTGATAGGTCTGTAGTTTCCTGGATCCATTTTCCCCCCTTTTTTGAAGATGGGAATCACATCTTTCCTTTTCCAGTCATCTGGTATGGACTGCAGTTTCTTAGAATCAGAATTTACACATGCACATATCCACAAACACATAAGACACTTGCTCTTCTTTAAAGTCACTGTCTGTTTTGAAACTTGAATTCTGTTTTCTTTTAGTATTCTTCCTGTTAACTATTTTGTCACTAATATAATATATAGAAGACAGGTGAATAATTTACAAATAGACTTATTAGTTAAAAAATTGGGGGACTGTTTTGAAAGGGGTGGAAAGCTATGTCATAGTAACGTATTCATCAATATTTCAATTAGGGGGATAATAAGTGTATTTGTGTTGGTCTTTTTGATGCACCTTTTTCTTGTTTAGTGTTCTGATTGTTTTGTAGTTTTTCCCTTTTTCTCTTTTTTTTGGATTTTTGGAAGTTTTGTATTTTAACTTTGTCTTGAATAGAAATAAAATATACATTAAAAAAAAGTCACTCTGTCTGTATCCCATGGGGTTGGCAGCTAAGGCAGAGCCACATGCTTTCTGTTTGAAAAACAAGCATCAGACTTCAAGACTTGCAGATGGTGCAGACCCAGAGGCACTCGGTTACCGTGTACACTAACAGGGCCAATGAGATTATTCTCTTAAGCATTCAGGCCAGTAGGGGTTATGGATTAACTAGCAGCCAGAAGCTCCTACTATTTGCCATTTGCATCTCACTGTCATGGTATTGCTACTCTCTTATTGTCAGCAATTCTTCCAGTTTTCCAACATACTGCATCTGCTAACTTGCAAATTAAAGATAAGATTTTTCCATTAGCTTTTGGAAATGGCCTGAGATTTGCAGAAAGGTACATAGCAAATGAGGAACATGCTTGTTCTTATTGCTCCATATCCATGGTGAGCTTGTATCTTTCTCATATGATTCTTAAAGAGATCAGATCCCTGACTGATGATATGGTTTGCGTGGAGAAGGTTCAGTCATGGCAATTTTCAGGGAATACTAGGAAAGGTTCTATTCTGACAAGGACTACTCAAACAGTAATAAGTTGGTTCTGAGTCTCAGAATAAAGCAGTTTCATAAGGCAACCATGAACATTCAAACTAGGGTGAATACAAACAAAATGGACTGAATTTCTCCGAGAAAAGCCTAAGGCCATTTTGTGGCAAAGTCTCTTGTAAACAGAGAGGTGGGGAACTGAGTTGTGAGTAACAGAAAATAAACACTGGACTTTCCAAAGATGTAGACAATCTGCTGAAGTTTGTTTTCCCCAGACAGTTAAGCATTTGGGATTAAATTTACTTTTCCACTGAAGTTTTTTTTTTTTTTTACAAATAGCTACAGTAGGTAAATAAAACAAATTTTCCTCTCCAGTTTGCATCTTTAAAATATGGCAACATGTCCAGCCCATTCTAACTGCAAGTTTTACTTTTCTTGTTATATATATATATATATATATATATATATGTTTATGTAAGTTTTCACGGGTATGTATGTGTGTATAGTTAATATTTCGGGTTTCTTCCCGTGTAATTGTGGATATATCCCTAAAAGGGTAGAAGCGACGTTTCGGCAGAATCCCATCTGCCATCATCAGGCTTATGCCAGTAGTCATTTTGCACTAATATATATATATGCACTAATAATATATATATGCATGTGTATATACACGCACACAATCTGAATGATTAATATTGATGCCTCTTAGTGATGTTTCAAGCAGAATAATGTCCTGGGTACTGTAAAAAAAACAAAACAAAAAACCCTGCAATTTCCTAACACATGACTGAACTAGAGAGAAAGACTCATACTGACATTGCTTAATTGATTGGTAAGAGCTCTAAGTAGAGCAATAAATGTGAGTTAGAGGCTGACAGGGTTGATTTATGAGGATTTACCAGAAGAAACACATGTGTATATTGCAGGGCTATAGGATGGCTAAGAGAAGAGACAGAGTACATCTCTGGGCCTCTGAAGGCAATTAACCAACTGCACTTTCTTTTAATGATGCATTTGCCCCACCACTGTAGCTTCAGCATCAATAGAGGTATTATTTTTCCATGTCATGATAAAGAGAGGCAATTGCTAGATGTCCAGTATATTTTGTTGCCTGAGGCAAAGGACAAAATCACATCCACCCTATTCTATATAAAAGTATCCAAAGATGGTACTGGTCCAGAGGCAGGAGGCTAATTTAGGGAGCACAGTTTTATCTCTTTCTGCCATTTCACATATAAAATTAAAATGAATTAGAGCTATCTAGCTTTACTATTCTGATCTGAATGACTACGTAAACCAAGATGTTATTGCTACAACTTGTTAACATTAAAACAGTAGCCTAAGGCCTCAATAGATTCAACCCTCAACTTGGCACGGGACTACTTTTGAATTAAAGAGATTCTCTGAAGACCAGTTAGCTTAACCCTGTGACAGGAAGTACAACCAGAAGAACTAGCTCTATCTTTATTATAAGGTTATATTAACAGAAACTTATAAGATTGAATATATTCCTTTTACTCTCTGGAAAATGAAGGAGGGTCCCTTCTGAAACCTTTCCCATGCCACCCCCTTGTCTGTGTACTGAGACATCTTTTACATGCTAGTTGTCTAACCTGTGGCTCTCCCTCCCGTCAACCAAGGTCAATCCCATATACCATTACAACACCTTATTCACCTGACTCATTGACCTCAGTATGATTTATTTCTAGGAAGACATGAGCATAACAACATTGTTTCCTACACAATCACATCTATCTATCTATCTATCTATCTATCTATCTATCTATCTATCTATCTATCTACAATACTTTTTTCCCTCTGCAAGTGTATTGATAGTTATATATACTACCCAATAACATTTTGATGGTGAGTGAACATAGATTGTTCTTCAAATCATGCAAAATTAATTGAAAGTAATGCATATGGATAAGCACACAAATCAGCAACTTTTACAAGGCACTTTTTCTTTTAAAAAAGGTCAAATCACACCTATAGAATTAGAACTAGATGGCTCATATCTCAGAAAGATTGAGGTATTTTAATTGCATTGTATTTATGACTATGATGCCTCTGACATTTGTATTTTAAGCTGTTGGGCCTTATCAATAAGTTCTGTAATAGATATCATACTTTTTCAGCCACTGCTTCTCTTCAAATGCTTTTCTGCAAGGACTAGATAGATAAAATGCAAGAGTGATCTTTTTTCTGGGAGTATCTGTATTTACATGAGTGATTGGAGTTTGCATAACCTTGAGCATAATTGATGCTGTTTGGGGCTTAATTTAACACCAGAAAGTAGACTGGACCAGTGGGCCTTTTTGGGTATTCCAATCCTCCTTCAGTTGATGTATTGTGGAAATAGGGCTACTGATAAAAACAACCACAAAATCCGTTGGTTTCAAACTTTTAACAGGACCTCAGGTGGATTTTAAATACAGAGGACTACTAGGAACAAATAGGTATATTTATTATAAACTATGCTAGACATGGAAAGTGACTTGCAGCACAAATTTGGCTGAATTATTTAGAAAGAACATCCGTAGTAATTTCTATTTATCATTATATTAATACAAATATAAATTGTACCATAAACCATACAAAAATATTGTCCAAAGCCTTTGATTTGTCACAGGAAATAGAATAGAATAACCAAAACATCTAATTTTAATCCAGAAATATAAGGCCAAAATAAAATATATCAATCTGACAGCCACTGCAAAGCTAAACAGAACTCTTAAATAAATGAACACTGAATCTAAATGAATATGCATTACTCAGCTATTTAAAACTGATGAATTCTTAGAATGAACTTGTTCAATTGACGAACATCTTATAAAATGAAAACGTAAGTCTCTGAGTCTTGCTTAATCTTGGAAATTTCTCGTGGCAAACTCGTATAACCCCTACCAAAAATTTCTAGCATTAATCAGGGTTGGCTTAAGAAGTCTCCCTACCCTGGGAGGAATAGCACTGAACAAGGTAAGAAAGTTCACACTAAAAAGCAATAATGCATCCTGGACTGAATTATGTTGAGGGGTATTATGAGAGAATTTTTCAATAAATGAATGAAACATTCAATTCATCTAAGAAACAACCATGTTAGAGAAAGACAAGCTCATTCTTAGTTTTCAGCCTGGGTGGGTCCCTACACCTGTGCTCTCTCAGGAGGCAGCCTGGATCCTGTTTCAGTCTCCTGTGGCATCATTTTATAAAGTCTTCAGGAGAAACTATTATTCTTACTGTTGATTTGAGAGCTGTCTGCAATACAATTTATTTTAGCAAAAACTAAAATAATATAGCTTGCATTCCTTTCCTTCACATAGGCTAACAATGCACAAATAATACAATAAACAGAATGAGTGAGATATACATCTCATAATACCATGTATTAAACCCAATACCATCAGTGGTAGAATATTATCCAGGTAGCTATTTTGTTGTTACTACTTAATACACTGCATTTATTGTTTTGCTTTTGCGAATGAAGATAACTACTGAAAATCACCAGTGTTGGTAATTAATTCCTGCTGGACTGACCCGCCCCCACCTTACTGTATTACCTAATTGTTTTTGAATAGGATGCTTTCATCTAGCTAAACTCATCTGCTTTAAGCAATTGCATGCAGGAAAATTGTTCATCAGAAATTCATAGGTTGAGCAACTTTACTGGCTACATCTGAAAGTACTTCTTTCTTAGCAACTCAATTAATAAAACTTCAGCACACAGCCCCAATCTCATAATCTGCTTTATGGGCTTCGTAACCTTTCCAAATCCTCCAAGTCAGATACAAATGCAAATGCAAGCAGGATTAGGGAACATTCTTTTTGCTAGTCAACCTCATGTGATGAAATACTGAGTTCAGTATTCAGCAACAAAGTTTCCCGTGAATGAAGGCAAATATACATGTCCCAGGATAATATTGCAGGATCCAATCTGGATCTGTCCCTGGTACCAGAAGATTACTCTTCTTAGCTTTTGGACTCATGCTGGCTGAAATAATAACCATCCGTTAACACCCCAGTCAACAAACAAAAACTCTCACACACCCAAGTACCACATAAATACTACGCATAGAATAGCCCAAGGCACACATTCTGGTAGAGAAAAGTTCCCTGAGGATGAGTTCCTGCAAGAGTCCAAAAGCTCAGAACATTAATCCTCTGGTCCGATGAGTGACCCAGATTGGATCCTGCAACAAAGTTTCCCTTTCCCTTCCCTTCTCTTTCGTGTGCTGGGCTCTTCCCAAAGCCAATCGTGAGGCCAAGGCATTCCTGGAACATCACCTAAGCAATTCCCTGAAGAGCAATTAAACTGTCATCAGGTTCCAGCTGTGCTGCCAATCATGTGAACAACCATGGATAAAGACAAGAAGATGAGAAAAATAGGAATTCTCAGTTATCAGAAAGGAATCTAGCCAAAAAAAGCAAACATGCAACTGTTAACCGGGTGATAGTTAGATTCATCTAATTTTCTTTGTGTTTATTAAAAG